GGCCACGGCGTCCTGGGTAGAAAAACATTGCTCTGTTCCCAGCCATGAGCCTCCCAGGTCACAGACACTCCATCTCACTTTGCCCATCTAGGAAACAGGGGTCAAATGGTTCCCCCACATGGAGCTTTCATGAGCACCAATTCAACGGTGTAACAATGTGGCACAACGTAACAACGTAAGCCCTGTGCAAGTAGAGCCGCTATCACTATTATCGTTTGCTTTCGGCAGTGATGATCGGAGCTTTGGAGCGTCCCTTCACTGAGGGTTGGTTCCCAGGGCCCGTGTCTTATCCCCTACCCTCAGCCGCTGTCCAAGATGGATACAGGGGAGGCAGGTACTCCGAGCATCAATCTGGTGGCTTCTAATCCCCTAAGGCTTCTCGCCTGAGGGAGCCCAAAGTTAAAGCTCTCAGCTCAGCACACTTATTTAGGGTCCCCATAATGCTCTGGTCTTAAGACAAATTTGTCTTCTCAAGCTGCTAGCTACAATGCCATTGACCTGTCCGCTCCCTAGGGGGCTCTAGCTGCATGGGCTTTTCCTGTAAAATGTTGTTCCGGGGGCTGCAAAGCAAATTCCATTCAATGCTGTTTTTAAATTACATTTTCCTTCTTCCACCTTGTGCAACGTTTATGCTCCTGAGATGGAAAAGCTAAGTCAAAGGTGAATGCCCTTTTATGAAGGTTTTGATTAAATTTCTCAGTCTAAAAAAAAAAAATCCTAGGTGGTTTTAGAATAGGCTTTCCCTGGCGGGCTGTGGCTAGTTCTGTCTCGAGCAAAGCTTTGCGCAGGAAGCCCACTTTAGCTTTGGTGGGATCAGCTGATTTTCCTTCTAGATATGTGGTGAGCACACCGAGGCCAGGGGCTGGCACTTTCTTCACCCTCCTGATGACTGAATTTCCCTTCACCAAACACACAGCCATGAGCTTCGTGAATATAACGATGCCCGTTGACCGTTCAGAGGTGCGAAGGAGTATTTCCAGAGGGACTTGCCGGTGTCCAGTATGCAGGAGGTGTCTAATACGAGCTCCCCCGAGCCACTCCGGTGTGGAGCCTCTTCCCCCGCAAGCACCGAGCCCACCTGGCACACCTGGCACACACACTCGGCCGGCCTAGGGGCTGTGGAGCACAGGGAAGCTCCAGGTCCGTTGCTGACTTACCTGTTATAATGTAGGCAAGTTTCTGTTTGCTGTCAGGCAGACTCTAGCACCCACGGGGCTTCCAATCAAAATGTGTGCTAGCGAATGACGTTCTCCTTCCCCCTTCTCTGCTTCTTATTCCCACATCCCTGTTGTGTTTGCCCTTCTGCGATATCACTGCGGGGCCTCGGGCCTGGCAGCTTACCAGGAAAGGTTTGCCGCAAGCTTTGCTGTTTCACGTCACCGGGCTGGAAGTGAGCAGCTTCTGCGGGCATCTTACACACGGCATGGGAAAGATACGAAGATTTCTCTCTCATTTCCTAAGGTGTTTGCATTCTATTTGATACGCGAATATCTGATTTTCACATAAAGTGATGGGTATTTCCCCCATTGTGACATTTCCTCCCTTGCTTTATGCATTGGAGGTCCCGTATGGTTGTTCTTTTCACTTATTTTTCTAATCCATCCTGAGTTTACTTTTGTCTACTTTTAAAGATCCAAGTTTATTTTTATCCCTAAATAGCTAGCCCATGTTCACAGTCCCCAAGGTTGAATAACACATCTTCCCACTGATCTGGGCTTTGTGTTTTTTGACCCTATGGATGCATGAGCTGGAGTCAAGTTGCCTTCCATTGGGGTAAAGGTCAAGGCCAGCCAGACCAATGCATGAGCAGATCCAGGAACTGAGTGGGTACGAGAGAAGCCAATGCTGAGAAGCCAATGATGTCCTGTGCGGTGACATCATTAAGTGGCCACTGGGGGACAGACCTGATCAGAAGGCACTGCTCCTTCCTCTGTGTCCCTTGAAGTGACTCTGAACGTAGGTAGACCTTGTTTCCAGCAGTTACTGAATAACTGCCTTAAGCATGTGGCCGTCGGAACTCTTAAGAACCTTAAAATAGTTCTAAAAGATTGCTTTGTTTTCCTTACTAAAGGGGTAATTGCATCAGGACAGTAGCCACATCTGAATTATCTTCAGAACTTCCCCGGCAGAAGCTCACAGGATGCAGGATGACCTGTGAAGGGTTTGTCAAGGCGGGGCTGGAGCTGCATCTCACTTTGGGGCTTTGCCACCACTGCCGGGCCCCCTGAGCTCCCACGGTGGGAACGGTAGTGTGTGTGTTCCGACAAACCGTTTACCTTCGACCACTGTGTCCTGCATTCGGAAGAAATCATTCTAGCATCGCTCTCTGGGACAAACAAACAACCCAGCGGCAGTGGTCACAGACCTCGTGCCCCCCACCCCGTGAGGCTGGGTTTGTTGCTGGAAGATTCGAATCAACTGGCACTGGGCCGGAGGGACGTAAATGACTTACAAGGGGAGGACCGAAGATCGGCTAACACATGGATTGCTTCTCCTTTTACTAGGTACCAAATAAGACAGACTGACTTTTGCACTAAGAAAAAATTGGAATGAAAAAATGGAGACATTCCAGAAAGCTCTGCTAACAGGATCGTTTTCTAATACATCAGAGCTGTGTGTATGTATTATACATATATATATGCTTGCTATATGTGTGTACATTGTACATACAGACATATAGAATATATAGCAATATATATATATTCATACATATATATGAATTACAATTGTTTTAACTACCACACATGATTAAAAGAAATATTTCCATCTCTCTAGAGGAGTTTGCATGTAGACAGCTGCCTATTGGCTGGCGAACGATAACTTCTGTTTAGTTATATAGTCCTAGTATCCAAGTTATTTTTAATTTTTCAAAGCAGTACAAGCTTATCGCAGAAAATCTGAGAAAAACAAAAAACAGTGGAAATGGAGAGAAACACACATCCAGTGGATTATTATCTTAAGATTTGAACTAGATGGATTCAGAGGGATCCGTGGACGTGGAGAAAAAGGGCCCGTGGAAATGTCTCCTCCCAAGCCCCCGGGGGCCTCTCGGCCATCTGCCCTGGTGGTGGGCCCGGCCTCCTGCTCGTGAGGCGGCCTTCCCCAGCACCCCTCGGTGCAGCTATGCGTCTCTGTCACGGAGCGGGCTGGCTTCCGAGCTCCATGACGCTTCCGTGGCTCAGCCTGCGTGTTTAACCCGTGGCTTGCTTTCTCCTTTTGTTCCCCAGACAGGAGTCATTTCCCTCTATGACTGTGTTTTCAAGAGGGACCCAGGTTATAATCCGAGACTGCACCGCGATGACAGAGAACATGCAAAAAGCCTGGGACTTCATGTTAACGAGGAGGTAATGTCGACACAGGGTGTTAACAGGGCATCAGTGGGTCCCCTGCATGTGTGTGTGTGTGTGTGTGTTTAATACTGTGTCACCGTGTGTCTGTGACTCTCCCTTTGTAACCGTGACAAGAAGCTGAGACTAAGGTGCTGTTATAGCTCAGTCTGTTCTGTCACGTTGCCGTGTATTAATTTTTATGACTCCGTTTCGTTCTATAGAATTTAATAATTTAATGGAAGCAAAACTAAGACGTTCTTTTCAACAGATAAAATAGGATTTCGCTTAACCTGAGTCCAGGCTGTCACAGTTGTTCTAGGGACACTGGGCTTCTGGGGATGAATCCACAGACACAAGAATGTGTCTCCCACTTGATTACCAGGTCACTGTCACCCACACATAGCACAGGTCCTCTCTTATCTCTCCACGATGCTCTGGAAGGAAGGCTCAGCTTGTAGTCAGCTGCACAGGTGGATGACCAACAGAAGGGACAAAAGTCACAGGGTGAGGAGGTGAGGATCGCAGCAGGCATCCGGGGGGAGGAGATGGTGTCGTCCTTAGTGGGCCGGGCCCTCCAGCCTCCTTTCCACACGTGGACATTGTCTCCACAAAGTCTGATCTGAGGAAAGTATGATGATTAAAAGTCGTGCCGAATTAATATCATAACCGTTTTATACGATACACAGAAATCAGAACTTAAAAGCTTAGGGTGGGATTTCTTTCTAGATTGTTGGAGTTTTGACTGTGGCTATTGTATAAGAACGCCACCATGTCACTTTTAATGAAACTTATTTTGGTGTGAAATTAAGTGATGGAGGTACTATGAGGCATCACCAGCTAAGTCCTGGATATTAACGTTTTTTTCCTACCGTTTTTGTTTATGTTATTTCATCCCGAGTTGAGAGTGAAGTTCATGCTTTCCTCTGATTAGAATATATCAGCATTTTTATGCCCAGTCATAGATTTTGAGCGCCTCCCAGGTCCTACCGAGCATAAAGGCGATAAGGCAGAAGTGTCTGTCCTGCTAGAGCTGATGTTCCCACAGGGAGACAGGAAAATAAAAGCCAGCTAAATAAGGAACAGAATCCAGGTAGAAATAAGTGGTGTGCAGAGAAGTGAAGCCTTTTAAGAGGATGGGGAAAGTGAAAGGGTTGGGTGGGGGGTGGGGTGCTGGAAAGATGGGGACAGGGACTGAGGAGGGGGCTGGGAGAAGGGAGGGGAAGTCAGAGGTACCTGGCAGCCAGTGCAAGGTCTTTGCCTTTCCTCTGAAGGACCTGAGCCCACCGGAGGGCTCCGAGCAGAGGGGCAGGACCCCAACCGTTCAGAGGTCCCCTGGGGCCAGTGTGGAGTAGCCCCCACAGAGCCGGGCGGGCTGGGGATGCAGGTGTGTGGGTGAATCAGCATGCAGGCCCCAGGCCCGGGCATGGCGGGGCGCTGACCCGGTGTCCCGCGGCCCGCACAGGAGCAGGAGAGGCCCGTCGGTGTGCTGACGTCGTCGGTCTACGGGAGGCGCATACACCAGCCCGTGGA